TAAATGCGCCACCCACCTTAATATAATATAAGTTCTAAGATCTCAGTATAGTTAGTCTTTAAGAATAAATACAGAATAAACTTACATTAAAATATTCTTTTTTAGGAGCATCATAGCTCTTGAGACCTTCCGGTACAGAGACGGAGCCGCGTTTTAACCGGTTCGTGTACACGACCGGACTGTCACCGGATAAGCCGTCTGCCTTGGCTTCTTCCCCATTTTTAGGTTCACTAATTTTAATTTCAGGTGTGATAGGTCTTCTGTCATCGGGTATGCTGGCTTCGGAACCGATTCTGGACGTGTTTGGACTGACATCGTCAATGTATCTGATGTCGTTTGGTGTGCGATTGGCTTCCAGAATAAGCCGTCTGGTCTCCGGGGGCATGGCGACATAATCGTGTGGGTATGAAGGGATTTTAACCTTCAAATTCGGTTTCTTTCTAGCTCCCATGTTCTAGATGTACTTGATGTTAGATAATCGTGGTTTTAGTGTATTTCCTATAAAAAAAATCCTCTAAAAATTGATTGACGTTATCTTGAATGATCTAACATCGTACACAGATTTTTTGGATCTTCACACTTTTGATGGATTTTTGTGAGTGAACACTAAACGCAACGACCATGTTACAGCAGCTATGTAAGCTCTGAACAGTGAGCACTCATGAATACGTTTCACCGTTGTTTCTTCCGCACTGTAATTCCAACTGACACAAGATAAAATGTAATGAAGTCTGAAGACTTGGTTTTGTTTCCTCAATTTTTATCAAATTCGCGATAGTCAACAAAGTTCCGATAAAGACTTAGTCTCGTAGATAATGGAACAAATCCACAGGGTAATTTCTTTATCTATCGAGATAAAGAGTGTTTCGTGCTAAATTTTGTGACAATTCTTCGGGAGGATCCTTCACACTGCGCTTTGTGTTACCGAGAGACAACAGTCGGTAAAGGTTCAAATGCTTAGAGTCTAAATTATTTAAAGAAAACCTGACGTGATTTAACATGCCCATTGAAAATACAAAACTTGGTCATGTAATCACAACATGCAACCATGACACCTGTCAATAACAATATCAGCATAAGTAATGAATGAAATGTAATTAGATGGTCTACCCGAAGAATAAAATCGACCATCAAACGTGCCAGGAATAATATTCCGCTACTAACTTAGCGAGTATGAACGCTAGGCTTTTGGGATAAATTTCAAGGCTCTCCAGTCCTTAAATAATTTTCCTTATCCCATTGGGTGGGGTCGGCACAGCGAATTTTTCTATTCCATTTTCCTCTATCAGCCGTCATGTCAACATTCACTCCTCACTCCTCTTTCTCTCAAATCGTCATTCACACACTCCATCCATGTCTTCTTCGGTCGACCTCTTCCCCCTCTACCTTGCACTACCATTTCCATACATCTCCTAGTCACATGCATCTTCTCTGTACGCATCACATGTTCATACTACGCTAACCGTCCGCTCTGTAATTTATCAATAACTGGGGCTGCTTTTCCACTTCCTCTGATATACTCATTGATACACTAAAGAGTTTTCCGACCAAAAACTATGCTTCATATCGCTGATCTTCTGTTACTTAGGTCAGATATCACTAATTTTTGCCGTCCCCTAAATCCAAGCATTTTGTCTGCTCCGTTTGAAGCTCATTTTAGCCGAGCTGATTTCGTCACGATGTTGTAATTTCACTTAAAATCTTTGATTACGGACGATCTACCTTTTTCTTAACCTATAAAATTAACGATTTCCGGTACCCAGAAACCAAGACGTGAATTTTGAAGCCTCCTTGATACGTAAGGTCGAAATTTCATTAGCACTAATCCTGAAGATTCCAGTAGTATTTTGGCAGGCGTCCGTGCTTACAATACGACACGCTATCAGTAAAGATAAGGAGAGCATAGATCTGGGGCCATATGGCAAGGAAATCAGGATTGGTTTAATATTTGCCGTAAGACATCGTTCATGATTATCCGAAATATTAGAAACACAGCCTATCCGTTCCGTAGCGCTCAAAACTCTTTTCAAGCCCGTTTAAAGATGACTGAAGATAGAAAATACAACAATTAGCATTCTTTAAACAAATAAAATTTTTTAGAATAGTCTTTGTCGCTTAATTAGGACGAGGTTAACACTCTTTGAAAGAGTTCTACCGCCTATGATAACATTTAAGATCTATAATCTACATCTAGATACGTAATCAGATCTGTTATCTTTTAAGCTGCTCTAATTTTACGAAAGAACAAAGAAATATATTCGAATGTAACTGACCCGGTGGTGCAGTAGTTAGCGCGCATGACTTTTGCGCCCAGGGTCGCGGGTTCGATACCCACATCGGGCAAACTCTTTCAGGCTGAGCCCGTGAGCTCACCTACCAGTCCGTGAATAGCTGGAATAGGCCTTTAGGCCACCAGAGATTACATAGAAAAAAGTGTAGTATTTTTTTATTTATATTTTTTATAGCTCAGGTGTGTGGACGAGCTCACGGCCCACCTGGTGTTAAGTGGTTACTGGAGCCCATAGAAATCTACAACGTTAATGCCGCCATCTACCTTGATAGAGACGAGATAATATGAGTTCTAAGGTCTCAGTATAGTTACAACGGCTGCCCCACCCTTCTAACCGAAACGCATTACTGCTTCACGGCAGAAATAGACAGAGTGGTGGCACCTACCCGTGCGGACTCTTAAGAGGTCCTTTTTTTTTTTTTTTTTTCGGGTAGNCGCATAATCGGCGGCGAGCGCCTCCGCCTCCAGGTCCCAGGGAGGCGTCCCGGCGAGAACGCACGCCGCCTCGAAGGAGACGGTGCGGTATCCACGGATCGCCCTGACCGCGATTGCACGCTGCGGGCGTCGCAGGGCCGCGATGTTCCTGCGAGTCAGGGCGCGGCACCACACGGGGGCCCCATATAGTGCCATGGACCGCACCACCCTCACGTAGAGACGACGTACTACTGCGTCGGACCCCCCAACGTTTGGCAAGAGCCGGCTCAACGAGCCAGCCGTCGCCATCAGCCGAGGGCCTAACTTCTCGAAGTGAGCGCGGAAGTTTCAACGACCGTCCAATTCGAGGCCGAGGTACCGCAACCCGGTTACCCCAACCTCGACGCGGACGCCTCCAATCACCAGGTGGGCCCCGGGCGGCGGCTCTCTCCCAGCCCTGTGGAAACAGCAGGGCCTGGGATTTTTCGAGCGCCTCCTCGAGGCCCAACCTCCGAATATTACCGACGACGAATGCCACCCCTGCGCAGGCAAGACGGGCAGACTCATGGTAGTCTTTCCCCCGAGCTATGACTAACGTGTCATCCGCGTAACACACAACGCGTAGGCCCGGGAGAGGGCTGCGAAGGACACCCCGCAGGACCCAGTCGTAGCCGATATTCCACAGAAGAGGGCCAAGGACCGACCCCTGTGGAACACCGCGCTCGACCGGAAAGCGGAGCACCGCACCCCCGTGTCCGGTGCATACGACCGACCTGTCCTCAAGATAGGAACCGATCAGCCGGCGGAGGTACGCAGGGACGCAGTGATATTCAAGCGCCCCCGCGATCACTGACCAGGGTAAGGTGTTGAAAGCCTCTTAAGAGGTCCTACCGCCAGTAATAATAATTATAATATCCAAGAAATTGAATTGACGCAGAATCTACTGCTTTACCAATTTTTTTTTACAAAATGCTCCAAAGTAACTTTCAAAAAAGAAGTTACCACTTTATGTGTGTACAGTGTGTGTTTTATATATGTACAGTATATGTATAGACAAACAATACATCCGCCTTAATGATATTACTCGAAGTCAATGACCTCGGATTTTTTGCAGTGAATTTTTTTCAATCGGCATTAATATATTAAAAAAATCTATTAACGTCTTTAATTTGTTGTCCAGAAAAGTCATTATCCTTTAACTACTGTTTCGTTACTACAACTTATTCAGTTGATGTGTTTTTACTAATTGACTGTGAAGTGTTTTTTTGTTGTAAATTATGAAGTAAGCATCACAGAATATGAGTAGCTACGAATACGAATGACTGATTTCAATTGCGATGCTTTATGTTTTAGCGCTGATAGCAGAAGAATGAGCAGACGGCCACGATTTGCGAACTGTCATGTTCCTGTTTTAAGAGTTGGACTGGTTGGACAGTCGTTATGATATCTTACTGCTCCGGTAATCTATGAGCACCGGGAGATCCGTGTCTCTCGCTCGCTCGCCCGTGCAGTAAAACAAATAAAAGAAAACTCTCACCAAAACAAAAGCTCTCAAATTACGGCCCTTCAAAACAGAACGCGTCAGTTACTTCGCGGTCGAGACAGAAGGGCTCATAGAACCTCTTATCACCAGTAGTTACATTGTTTTTTTTATAAGATTTCATTTATTCATATAAAAATTCGTTCACAAATTTCGTTCAAAGGTGCTTCCTGAGAAAAAAGGGTACCTGCATGCGACTATTGAATACTGATACAACCGTGTCATTTAATTTGAGTACAACGGCCGTCTTATGTCTTAGGCTGCGACAGCTTGATCAATATCGCCGCCATTGCTTTGGCTTAGCAATCAATATACGAGTAGTACTTAGGATTAGTATTTACTATACACGCCTATAAGGATTTTCATTCGGTTTTTATCTAGACCTGAATTATCCGTATTGACCAGTGAGTTGGCCTATTATTTTGAAGTTATTCAACAATCTACTTATCTATATATATATAAAAATGAATTGCTGTTCGTTAGTCTCGCTAAAACTCGAGAACGGCTGGACCGATTTGGCTAATTTTGGTCTTGAATTATTTGTGGAAGTCCAGAGAAGGTTTAAAAGGTAGATAAATATATAAATGCTCGGAATTAAATAAAAATAACAATTTTGTTTTCCCTTTGATGTGTCCCCCGTCGGACGGATTCCTTTTGTTTGTTTTAAGTTTATTTTGTACAAAAGTTTAGGACTTTTATTTATCGATTGAGGCACAACGAAGTTTGCCGGGTCAGCTAGTATAAAATAAAACTCACCCCGTCTTCCGGATTATTCGCGTACTGTTGCCTGAACACCTCTATTTCCAAATTCTGTAGGGCAGGCATCGATATGCTGTTTCGTCTCAGATTTGATCTCCTCGCTTCTACTGCTCTCTCGTTATCAATCATATCATTAGACTCTTTAGCTCCGAAAACTTTTGATGTTGATTCGCTGAGGTCCGTGGACTGCGCGCTAGGGCTGCTCGGCTTAGATTTATCCGGTTCTAGGGTGATGTATAGGGTTCCTTCAGGGGTGTTTACAACGATAGTGTCGCTGTCAGGTGAGGAATGTACTTTATCTAAGTCTTTTGTCTGCTTCTCGTCAACCCGCTTCGTTGTTTGGTTTTCTCCTCGTTCGATGTCTTTGTAACGCTGTGGTCGTATTGGTTCATCTGTTTGACTAAGATCAAGCTCTACGCATTCATCAGCATACGGGATCTCATCTGATCTCCTTGTGACGTCATTGAGGCGTTGAACCGCTTCATTGTGCAAATTTGTGTCGGCCATGTTTCTATTTTGTTCTTATTTCATACTTTTCTGTAAAAAAAAAAACAATTTAATTAGGTTTTTTTTTGTTTAAATTTACTTGGTGTCGGTAAATTTTGATAATTAAATTTAATTAATTGGTCACTATTAATTTATATTTGAAGTCAGTTAACACGATATAAAATTTATTAAATTCATCTTAAATTACGACAAAACTGGTTTTATGTAAGCAGTCGAAACTTTAAACATAATAAATTATAAATTGAATATTAGAATTTAATAATAATATCGTGTTTATAATTTTTAGTGTATATACATTTAAATAGCACAGATTTTAAAGGAAAGGTTTTTGTGTCTTTCGATCGTTCTTAATTTAATTTTGATTGTTCGCAAAGACACAAGGTCGCGTAGCAACATAAAATAATTAATTATATGGATAATTCCCTATAATAAAATAAAAACTCGCATACAAAGTATTGACTTAGAAGACGCGAGTGTGTAACAAAGGCTTCCTCAAGTTACAGTTCCTGCTTCCTCAAAACCGTGTATACAAAAAGTACCCCCCTCCTAATTTGATTACCAAATACCACACTACCTCCGATTCTCGTTCCTTCGATTCCTGCTTTACTATAGAAAAACAATCATGAGATAATGTAAAAAACCAGAAAGAACAGCAGTTACACATATTTTTTTTTTTATAAAATGTTTCTCAACGTCAACCCACTGACTTTCTCGCCGGATCTTTTCAGTGGGTCGCGATTCCAATTCTGTGGTAGATTCTGCGAAACACTGCTCTTACTAGTTTTTTTTTTATTTCTTAGATAAGTGGACGAGCTCATAGCCCACCTGGTGTTAAGTAGTTACTGGAGCCCATAGACATCTACAACGTAAATGCGCTACCCATCTTGAGATATAAGTTCTAAGTTACAACGGCTGCCCCGCCCTTCAAGGCGAAACGCATTACTGCTTCACGGCAGAAATAGGCAGGATGGTAGTACCTATCAGCGCGGCCTAACAAGAGGTCCTACTACTAGTAAAATGTCCTACCACCAAAAATATATGTACAAGTTTTCAATTAGTTTTGTTCAAAACAATCTAAAACTCTTAGTATAGTTATTGCGTTCTCCATTAGGCTGTGTTGTTTGAGAGCCGTGGCCGCTTTGACGTGGGCTATTAGTGCGAGCCTTTTACGTGCCGTGAATCTTTTACGTCTAACACCATAGTAACACTAATTTAATTAATGCACACTCGTGGTATTTTCTTGCAAAGCACTCTGAAAGGACAGCGTTTGTGTTTATACAAACTTTTTCTGTGTTCTCCCTCGATAAGGATACTAGAGATAATATTTTTAACGTTTGATCTATATTATACATATATTGCTACCACGATTAGCCTTTGACTTTCTGGCTTTCCTAGTTTTATTACTAACTAGCTGACTCGGCAGACTTCGTAGTGCCTCAATCGATAAATAAAAGACCTAAGCTTTTGTATAAAATAAACTTAAAACAAACAAAAGGAATCCGTCTGACGGGGGACACATCAAAGGAAAAACAAAATTGTTATTTTTGAAGTGAAACTTCCTTATCGGCGTTGGAAAAAAATTTACCGTCACATTTTTCGGTTACGCGTCACTTTTTTCCGTTACGCGCCATCTGTTTTGTATTCATGTCTATGATAATAAAATCCTTTTGTTTAAACTTTATCTAATTTAACTTTTTTGTATTCATGTCTATGATAATAAAATCCTTTTGTTTAAACTTTATCTAATTTAACTTT